GATATCCAGCTTGAACTGGTGCCAACCGAGCCCCTGGTTGTCGGTCAAATCTAAACCAACGAGGAAAAATAGTTATAACAAGTTGAGCTTTTGTTAAAAGGTCTGTGATCTTTTTCAATGTGCGCCGAGGTTTTCTAGACGAAATCAAGAAGCAGTTCAAATGACAGTTTGAGCACACGAGACGTCACACTCTCTAACAAAGATTTATCCGCTGGAGAGCTTATCAGATGCTTTAATTTTGATAAATGTTGAAACATAATGTTTTCTTTCAAACATAACTGTAATAAGTTCATTTATGTGGTTGATAATTTTTGAACTTGCTGAAATGCGAAGTCATTTACTTCGACAATTAAGAGTTTGCGCAGTATTTGCGTAGTCAAACAAGTGGAACTATCCAACGTAATATTGCTGCAATAGGTAAAGGTACAATCACCAAATCACGATGGCTTGCTGGCCTCAGCGCTTGAAGTCGATATGGTCATTGGCATTTTCGAGACCTAAGATATGTGTTTACTGCCCTGCAAGTGAACGCATGCATTTGGTTACCATCTGATGGAGCTCTCTACGCTCTATCCATCCTTATGCAGTTTACCCCGAATTTCATCTGTCTTCAGAACATAAATGCTAAAGCATAATTTTTTGGCCATTGACTGCGGCAAAAATCGTTGATTTTCAAGTTTTTTTGCATTTTTTACCTGGAAACAAAGAGAATTTCCAAAGGCTTGATACGACGTTCGAGAGTGCTTGAAGCGCTCTTTTGAATGCCTATCGCATCATGGCCTCACGATAAATTTAGATTTAAGGCGCTCATTCGAAGTTGACATCTAAAAATGATCGAAAGACAGTCACTTTGATGGTTCATACGGAAAAGATACTGGGGAATGCACCGCATATAAACAGACTATACGGACTGTTCACTTGCTTGGCAAATGATTAGAAGGCAAGTATGCCTTTTTGGCGATAACATATATGTCTCGTATTGTTGTGGCTTGTATAGGCCTCATGTCCCATGGAAGACATAACTTTGTATATGTAAAGAACGTTAACAATCAAACAGCATAATCTCGTACGAATCGTTTTCACCTTAGTTTCTATTTGTTCGTGAGAAACGGCGTTACATATTAGCATGTTGATAGCTTTTCAAGAAAGAAGCAAGACAGATATCAGTGAAACAAAAACTGTAAGAACTCTTGATATACATTAGCAGAGGTTCCTGCATACTTTGAAGGTGTAATGTCCTGTGCTGATGCGACAAGTCACACTTGCTTTCTTCCTTTTAGTCTCGAATACTCAATATATCAATTTTTTCCGACTCACATAATTATTACAATACTGCTCATAATTCGTCAAAAAAGTCGCCGCACTCTAGCGGAGTGCCCCATGGTGCGCTGCAGTGCACCGGAGTTCGGCGGAGTGTGCCGGAGAGCAGCGGAGTGCGCCGCACTCCACTAGAATGCCCCGGAATCCGCGTCGCATCGCCATATTTCTCTCAAAAACCGACGTATTGTGATTCCAAGAACATCGCTCGACTAAGCTTGGCGAGGCGCATCATCTGGTATATAGATGTGCCACAATCCGTCGGGGTAGGTAAGTATATTGTTATCAGTAGGTTTTCGCTCAATTTGCAGATTTTTCTTTGGTTGAATTGTCCAGTGTGCTGATAACAATATCGTCATTGATTTGCTGCTGATGGCAAGTCGTAGGGATACTGTAGGGGCATGGTGGAGAGTCACCCTGATGGATTTGTAATCAGTTCAAGGTGTAATACCGCTCACCGAATCTGCAAAATTTCACTGGACGTCGCGAAAATCCGGGTTCCACGGAAGCCCGCGACTTTCCCGGAATTCTGCGTCATTTTAAGAATTTCACGAAATCACGGGAATTCCGTTTAATAGTGGATCACGCAAACTACGCAGCACATAATTTCCTTCAGAATGAAGATAATCTGAGCCTGGAAAAGCATTGGGTTCAGCTTGTCAAGGTAAATCTTTTGGTGTACAGCATGACCGTAATATTCCGCTTCCAGTTTTCTCAAATTCTTCTGCAAAGGTCTTTTCGCATAGATGTAACGCAGCGCTTATCCAATACAAAACATTCCAGTAAGTACTATTCGATATTGCTGTGCTCGTAGGTTATTGTGCGCTAATGATATTTGCAGTTTGAATGTCAGTAGTCACTTACAGTGCAAGTTCGACGAAGTATGCAATCTTTACATTGGGCAAAATTCATGAGGTCGTGTTTTCGTAGCTCGGAGACTGTTACAGCTTCGAGCCTGAGACATCCGACATTCAATAGCATAGCTCCTAGCAACTTAGTCTATAAAAGCAAGCAGGCAGGTTTTCTGACAGATACGCGGGGAGTGCAGGCGAAGTTACGAACTTTCGTGACTCAGTTGAATTTACCTCACTTATTTCTGAAAAAAGACCCTACACTTGACAGACACGGTTTTCATGAACAGCGTGTTCGAAAAACTCTCTAAGCGAAGTTTCCTTCCAAACCAAGATCATCAGCATTTCGACCAAAACCTCTGGCGAGCTTCAGAGCGTGAAGCGAGAAAAAAATCAAATAACCCGAAGTTCCCTGAAAACTTGCTCATAGGGGTTATCAGACCTGCTAATTACGAAATTCACATCTGCTTAGCAAGATAGCTTCGTATTCTAGGGCTATGACAAGTAGAATTTGAGACAACAAGATTTTCCCACAGTTTACCAGCCCATCTATCTCCTTTGAAAAAAAGCTACGGTTACATTTTGGCGCTCTATAATTTACGGAAGAAGAACTATTGAAGGGTTTTTGCTGTAGCTTATAAGGGGCAATGCGCTCTGCTTTACACCTTTGCGAAGAGAAGTCCGCAGAAAAATTCAAGAATACTGAAATTGGAATATAAAGGACATGCTGTATATTGGAAGATTCGCCTTGATGAGCTGAGCACAGATTTTTTTTGATTCGGATTATATCAATTCTGAAGGAAGTAACGGCGAGTAGGATTTGGAAGCGCGTGATTTTTTCAGAATTCACCAACGCTTTTATCTTTTTTTGGAAAGAAGTCTGCGGCTACTAATTTAGCGCACAATAACCTACAGGCACAGCAACACCGAACAGTATTTACTGGAAACATCTATGCGAAAAGACCTTTGCAGAAGAATTTGAAAAAACTGAAAGCGGAATATCAAGTTCATGCTGTGCAGAAAGATTTGCCTTGACGAGTTGAACACAATGCTTTTCCAGGTTCAGATTATCTTCATGTTAAAGGAAATTATGATGCTGCGTAGTTTGCGTGATTCCCACTATTACGCGCCCGTGATTTCGTGAAATTCCTGGAGTGACGCAGAATTCCGGGAAAGTTGCGGGCTTTCGTGGAACCCGGATTTTCGCGACGTCCAGTGAAATTTTGCAGATTCGGTGAGCGGTATTACACCTTGAACTGATTACAAATCCATCAGGGTGACTCTCCACCATGCCCCTACACTACCCCTACGACGTGCCATCAGCAGCAAATCAATGACGATATTGTTATCAGCACACTGGACAATTCAACCAAAGAAAAATCTGCAAATTGAGCGAAAACCTACTGATAACAATATACTTACCTACCCCGACGGATTGTGGCACATCTATATACCAGATGATGCGCCTCGCCAAGCTTAGTCGAGCGATGTCCTTGGATTCACAATACGTCTATTTTTAAGAGAAATATGGCGATGCGATGCGGATTCCGAGGCATTCTAGTGGAGTGCGGCGCACTCCGCTGCTTTCCGGCACACTCCGCCAAACTCCGGTGCACTGCAGCGCACCATGGGGCACTCCGCTAGAGTGCGGCGATTTTTTTTGACGAATTATGAGCGGTATTGTATTAGGTTGTCCCGAAAGTTTTGTCGGTTTTTTTCATTGCTCACTAAAACTCACAGAACACCAATTCATAGGCGATTTAGGTACCATTTGATTCAGATTTTTATCCTCTTTCATACAGCTATATCTTCTCTCTGATCTACCCTGCCTTTGCAATGCTATCGCTATGGCATTTTGAGCAGCTCACCAGTAACGCCAAATCTTTCCTGAATTTTAAAATTTTTTATCCTGATGTTTTCAAAGAGCGCTGGCAAATGTCATGTAGAGCAAACATTTGGCTACATTTTGTTCATTTTAGATTACATGAGCCGCGTTTAGCAAGTCCGTTATAATTATTTATTTAATGGAAACCGCGGCTTTTTTATTATGTTTTGACACGTAAAAGTACCAAAAACTCCAAAAAGCTGCTTTTCCAAGGCAATCAAGCTTGGTTATGTTGCATAAATAATGTTTAGTAGAATCATGCTTCAAAACGCAGAAACTTCAGAAGCTTTCGTGTATTTGATGCAGCTGCGTGTTTTAAGACTTTGCCAAAAATCAACCTTCAAAGAAATAATTTTGTGAACCTAAAAACAGCAGATTTGAAGAAAAGAAAAATGTTTTTTTGTAGTCCGAGAATAGCTCTACCTGATCCACACTTAAACCTTTCCGGAACTTTGGAATGAAATTTTTAAAAATTAGCCTAACTTTGAGCAGATAAAATTGACGGGTGGAGAATTTTTGCAAATATAAAAAAAAGCATACAAGATTGCGGTTCGAGGATGTAACCATAAGAAAGAGAAGAAGAAGCTACATCGAATGCATGTTGAAACTCACTCAGGTCTTTATTGTGCCTGGTTTTACAGTGGTTTGAAAAAACCGACAAAACTCTTGGAACGACCTAATAGTAGGTACAAAACATTTTTACACTTCTTCTCAATCCCAGGCAGAAGCTAAGCTTTTAATATCTGATTAAGAGACATCGAAGTCTACAGCAAATATCTTGCAGCTAACAAAATCTGTGCGACCGTTATTTTCTTCAGATCCAAGACTGAATCGCAAAGAAGCAAGATGTTGTTGCCGCTTGTAATTATGGTAATAGTTTGCATTTCAAGAATTCCACAAGTCAACATCAAATTTTCAGATAAGCGCAGTCTTTTTCCATATAGGGGATGCGGGTAAGAATTCACGTATTCGAAATTGAGATTTTGACCTTTGATGGGCTTCCCTATTACTTGATGGAATGTAAAGGAAGTAAACGCATTGCAGATTTCAGCACATGCATCCTGCAAACTCGATGCAACTGTGGTCGCGGCTGTCACAAACTCTCACAATGAGCTTAGAGCAAACGTTGCCAAACGTAATCTGAATGCGGCAGTTTTTGGAAGCATACCTGGATCAAAAACTCTTTTCAAGTTGGTGAGTAAAACAGACAGGAAAATTGAAGCGAAAGGACATGTCTGACTATGTTTCAGCTGATTGAGAGATTCCTTTCTTGCTTCCTTCCTCCGCTTTTAGTCAAAACACATTGGTCATACAAAAAGCGTGTTACCTCTTTGCAGAAGTATGATTGTTTACACGAAGGACTTGCTCTCGCTACCATTGGAAACAAATGCAAGCATTCGAGCAACTACATGGACAAACTTGGAAAAGCCGAAAACTTCATTACGTATGCCTTCAACGTGAGTAGAACAGGAACATAATGGAAACTTTTTATTACAGATATAGAATGCCTAAGAAACCACATATGATTGAACAAAAGGATCTTTTTGAATTTGCGGTGGAAGACTGGACGGATACGGTTAAAAGCCCGCTGAGCTCAGACGTAGTGTACACTGATACTTCCATGGAACCATTTGCTAATGTGAGCTTTTGCCGGCTTCACTTTAATCGAGATAGAGCTTAAGTTCGCTATTTTTACATTTATAGATGATCTACAACAAGACGCTAAAATTCGGCTGCTCATTAGTGTTTTGTAACGATATAAACAAGGTTGCTCTTGCATGCGTGTATAGTAACAAGTAAGCAATTTGATTCCAGCCACCACATAAATGCTTGGGAATGTTACTCAACAAAATATGAAACATACATAACATTTTTTGTAGGCCAAAGGAAGGTGAACCGCTTTACTGGGCAGATTCGAAAAATAATGCTGGATGTCAAAAACCTGGACCCTGCAAGAAAGTTATTAAAGGAACGGATGTAAACTGCGATACCACCTATGGACTTTGTGATCAAGATCCCGCTACTACTACGACGACGACTACTACTACTACTACTCGTACGTTTGTGGTGAAGTAACTTATGTGAGCTATTCTTTTTTTAGCCCCTCAAGAAGATTACAATTATGACGAAGATTATTATGATGACGGAGAGACTGAAATCATAGACGTACGTTGAACACTTGTAAAAGTGTACGAGATAGATAAAAATCTTGTTGTGCATTGAGCAGACTTTGAAAACCAATTTCAGATTTCTTGACTTAATAGAAGAGACGGCGATTTCGGTTACATTGCCTTGCTCCATTTTTCACCAACAAATTCGTTTGTTCAAAACAACTAGTTTGTACGACTACAAGCAAAAAGAAAACAAAAGAATTCAATAGGTGACTTACAAAAATTTGTGTTTTAAAGCAGCCGACACGCCCAAGCTGACTGAGTTTTTATATTAAAGCAACAGGCTGGTCATAAACGCGGCGTTCATGTAATGTCTTGTAACACTTTATTTATCTCGAATTCTGCAATGTTTGGAGGATTGCAGCATTTGAACACTAACTCTTTCGAGTCTTTCGTTTGCACCATTTTCAAATCATCACACCCGGTTTTCTGGCCAATTTGCGTGTCATTTTTATCTGAAAGATCAACTCATTCTGTTCATAGTCGTAGCTCAACGACTGTTGAGCATACACTGCGTAGAAGGGCAGGGCATAAAAAACCTAAAACTTGCACCAAAAATCGGAGCAGTCGGTGTTTCAGGTGCTTTTACCAGCTCCTTACTGTGCGAAAATTTATGATTCTCCTGAAAAATGAAAACAAATCAAACTCGCCCTTTTGTATTGCTTGCTCAATAATTATAACTTTTTATAGAGAAGCTTAATCAGCACAAACTTTATACAACTAGAATGAGCTGGTAAAAGCACGTTTAATACCGAAATTCCGAAGTACTGCTACACAAGTAGGCTGCATGGACATGCAATGCACATTGGATGGAGAGAAATCAAAAATATCCAGAGCAAAGCCCCAGAAGCTAAGCCCACACCCACATTAAAAATGGTAGTGAAAGAATTTGATAATTTGTGTATTAACTTGGCAATAAGGCAGAAAGGCCAATAGATAGGCTTTACAGATTAATCTCATCAAAAAGCTTTCGTAAAAACCTCTCTGATAGAATTGTTTTTTTATAGTAGTGGGATTGAGAACGGGTTTTTGAAACGCAGAAAGACCGATTTAGTCTATGACCAGAGACCGCGCACAAAACTTGCGCAAAGTGCCAAAACACAAAAAAGCGCACTTATTGCGTCGGAGTAGTTGCGGTTACGGTGACCTTGTCAGCGCTTGCATTTTTTGGTAAGGAGAATAATTTTTAAGTTGGAATTTGCTACGACCGCTTAGATCTCCAATGTGAATTCAACGCTCCGACGTCTCCCTGTCGTTCTCCTTTGCTCACCTACACCTCCACTTTTCGTTCGCTGCCTCGCAACACCTGTTCCGCCTTACGATTTTTACCGACGTTTCAGTGTGGAACTCTTCCTTAGTTGTTTATTCAATTCTGGCAAACCTTAGACGCATTCAGCTTTATACAGGGTGTCCCAAAAGTAAGTACACACTTTTCAATCGTTAATGTTAGGTTGGAAACTAAGTTTTGCAACTGGTCTCATAACTTCCCTCTCACCCAACATGGCGCACTCAGATTTTGCCACTGCGTCGGTTACTACGTAAGCGACAAACGCAGCTGCTGTTCTACCAAATTCTGACGTCGCAGTAAGGGTTACGGTAGGTGCATGGTATGAAGGAAAAAAATTCAAGGTTTGACGAATTTGACTGAATTTTGGCATAGGGGTGCTATCCGACATGCTGATCACGAAAACGATAGTGAAGTTGCGTAACAAAGGTTTTTTTGTAGGATTACTGTAGGTGTACGATGTGGGGTCTCACCCTAAACAAGGAAAAAGGCGTTTATTCAACAAATGAATGTGATACTCGCTTTTGGCAGGTCAAATAACCTTACTATGTAAAGTCTCAGCGGAATTTGAGCTTCGGACTATTTAGTCATTAACGGTCGTCCCCAGCAGCTCTTACGTACATCGACCCGTTCGACTTTATAAAGACGCCAAATCTCGACATGCCCCTAAATTCTGTTTCTTTCTTGATAGGTCAAAGGAGCCAACCTCCAGCAATTATTTTGTAGACGAATCCGGATTACTGCGCATGGTCTAGGCTGCCAACGGCTTCATTTTAGCTTGAAAATCCAAAAATTCTCAAATTTCACTAGTTTTCGAAAAACGCCTGAAACTTTTCTATTTTGTGTTCAAAATTAAGACAGTTTGTGCTTTCTTGTAGCTTACATTGCCTTCTACATGATGCCAAAGTTTGAGTGCGCCATATCCAAAGAGAGCGAAGTTATGAAACCAGTCAAAACTTAGTTTCCAGCCTAATATTTCCCTTCCCATTGAGTCTTTTTCCGCTGTTCAAGTACCATTTTGTAGAGGAGGCTTCAGCTTAGATTTACAGCAACGAGCGAATCACCGATCGCTTTTCGTTACTGTAGGATTATGGTAAGAACTTCCAGCATGTGGAACCATTGTGAAATATGCCATCCAACAAAATTTTCTCAAAAAATTTGAAAAATCGTGTACTAGGGTTTTCGCGCACGCCGATTACATTACACAACATTTTATGAGTGTTTTCAGCTTTTCTGACAGTGAAACTACAGTTCCGCTGGTAACTCGGTTATTACGGTTTACCTGGGATAACTTAGGAAAGAAGCATCAGAGTCAAGTGGAAGTTTCATTTTCGAAATCAGCGGCTTCCACTACCATAGTATAAGAATCTTTGGCTTGCTTGGTTTTGTTCCGAGGCAGAATATGGCTTGCGACGGCCTAAAATCCTTGTCGAAGTTCCTACAGTAATCCTACAGTAACGAAGAGCGTCGGTGATTCGCTCGATATTGCAAATCTAAGTTGAAGCCTCCTCTACAGGAGTCTACAGGATGACACTCAAATGGCTGAAAAAGACACAATGGGAAAAGAGATATTAACGATTGAAAAGTGTGTACTTACTTTTGGGACACCCTGTATATGGGATGCTTCGCCCTTGAAACCTGGAAAACTCAAAACATAAAATCGTTTAGATATACTTCAACTTTTTTTCAAAAATGTTCGACAATGTCTAAACTTACCATCTTGAGTTACTGTACAGGCGCGCCGTGCTAGTTCCGTAATGGTTCTCCACCCACTTCCGCTCCAACCGTTCAGTATGTTCGGTTGTGGTCTTATAATATTTGCAGAGAGCGAGTGATTCAAACAAAAACGATAAAAGCTATAGAAGCCTGCATGATCGTGAGACCTCGGACGTACCACCGACGACCGGACGACCGTACGGCCACTGCGCCGCGCATGTGCGTCCGACGACTCAGGTAGGTGCCAGACTTATTCTGTTGAACAGGTTCATTCGGTTCACTACCTTTGCTGTTGGACAGTATACTGATTTGACCTATGAATCGAACGAACCAACTGGAGCGGATAAGTCTGGCACCTGGGACGTGGCATCGGACGTGCGCGGCGCAATGGCCGTGATCCTGCAAGCCCCCCTATCAAGTGAAGGTGACGTACGCCTTGCCTACGCTATAGGCCGTACGCACCGGGCGCGGAGAGTGCGCAAGGTGTGCACTGCGCGTCACTCCTCTTTCCTCGTGCACTTTCGCCGCATGTTTTCTTTGCGCCTCTTCCAGTCGTGTACTATCTTCACTGTAAGCGACAGCGTTGCTCTCCGAGCACAGCGCGGACGGCCTATACCCATGTCCTTATCAATATCTTTGGGCACTTAGGCGTAAAAAAACATCTCAGGGGCAAATTGTAAATCTACAACAATTTTTTACGAGTAATGGTACTCGCCCGTCGTTAAGCTACAAATTCGGACAATTTTGCAGTAATCTGTTTGAAGCTTTTTAGATCAATTGTTTCCAGCAAATTGAAGTCGCCCGCATGAATCGCCCGGGATGCTGTAGGCTGAACGCACGCGAGAGTGCCTGCAACATGTATCGAGTACGAGCGCTATGACGACTCATGCGCGCGAATGCCAATGTCAGCGCGCAAGAGACACGCTCGCGGACGCTCGGTCCGGGCGATTCCGTGCAGTTAACTATATCTATCGCAGCAGACATTTTTAGATGCCCATAATTTACCAGATTCCAAGTTGAATTCGTACAGTCTGGATTGGTGACATTGCGATTACCTCGCAGATTACTGAGAGCAATGTGGCCATGTTTTGACTAAAGTTACCAGGTTGTACAAGGAAAGGCACATAACTTAGCACGGCTTTCGGAACAAGACATAAATTCTTCTGAATCAGCCTGAAACGCTGGTTCCAAGCTTGCTATTCTTAGCTGCGGTGCATCGATTTGGAGCGATTTAATGAGTTTTTCGTGGAAATTTTGCATACACATTGACTTGCTGGCATCATGGCATAACCATCTATGTACTAAGGACTTGAGTTGAGCTCCTTATCAGTAAAAAAATTCGAACTCATGGCATTTCAATAGCCCTGCGCCAATTCGAACAGACTTTTACCTTCGCGAGCAATTTCGTGTTTTACATTAGTGTGGAATAATTAGCTATGGTTTGCGTTATTACTCAATGATTGATTTTGCTGTAAATATTGACTTGACGAAGCTTTGTCAAAATTGTTAGCAGTGTTGTTTTAACATGCTTAGATAAATGACTTACATACAGTGCTGGCTAAAAGTTTGCAGCCGCTCTAGAATTTTGCAATATCTTACTCCGTTTTGCTTGGACAAATCCGAAATTCGATATTATGTGAAAAGTATAACTGCTCAAACACTATGTCAAAAATTTTTGCAGTTTTATGCACACAGAAGGGGCCTCTTGAGAAAATGGCGAAAACGACAAAATCGAGGTTGGTTAACACGTTGACGTCCCTGCAAATGACGCCGCGTGATGGTGCGCGGCTGCCTTAATCTCAATACTATGTGTCCAGTCATCTCAGTTCTTATTCGTATGATCAACATAGGCTCAGGTGTACTTTAGATATTAGCCCTCCCCCCCTTTGGCTGACTCCGCCCACTCACATGCAACTCAAAAAGACCCTTTTGTTCTAAAAAAACATGGATAAAGCCGTAGGTAAACGCAAAGACTCAAACAAATTTTAGCCAGGCCCTGTCCG